TTTTTCATCGTGGCTGCTGTTATTTTAAGGGAGCTTCTGAGACCATGTGGGGCTGTGCTTGGTCAGAGATAGGCCTGGTTCTAGAATACCTTCTAGAATGGTGACTTAAGTGAGTCCCCTACAGGCCTCAGGTTCTGTTTAAATTTATGGATAAAGCAAGAAACATGGCACCTGCCAAGGCTGAGTTGCTTCACTAATTAAATTAGCAGTGGAAATTTTACTAGGTTTAATTAGTGTAAAATAAGCCACAGGAATAAAGCCGGTGATTAAAGCATGCTAATCTGATTGGAATCACAATGTGCATTGTCACAGGGCTGCTTGATAACCTAGCGTCCCCAGACCGAGGCTAGAAAGAGGTGGGAGCTGTTTCAAAGAAGAGGGTAGTTGCAAAGGGGCATCATACCTGAAATACTGTGAACATCATGGGTGACCTTGCACTGAGAACAGCCACCTTTCTAGGCAGAAGGGAGCTAAATCTGCTTCCTGCTTTTTGTTTCATGAGCGGAGTGAGGTGGGAGCCAGTGTCTTCCCAGCCTCTCGAAGTTTCAAACTTATGGAAAAATTGTAGAGCAGAAGGATGGTCCTTTCCCTGTCCCGACCCACATGATGAAAGTAGTGTGCGTTTCAGATCTTTGGACAGAGGACGTCCGAGTGTCTCATGTATTAAAAAATATACTGCTTTATTAAATTCAGTGCAGTACAAGGCACATCACTAAATTAACATGCAAATCCCTTCCGGGGCTCAGGTCCTTGGTCTAAGTTAGCACAAAACTGTTTTAGCTTATGAGGGTAGATCCATGGAAACTACGCATTTTCTTTGCCCCAGTTCTCAGCCTCTACCCATTTCCTGGTTTGTAGATTTCCAGTTGCCCCAGAGGCTGAATGTTAAAAGAGGTAATCTGTCCTTGTCATTTTCCACGTGTATATACCGTGCGTTGTTTATGGGGCTTTAATAATATTTAGATATTCATAAACCAACAAGAACCATAACAAAAATTTGCTGTTAGTAATAACCAGAGTTTTTAGAAGATACTCAGTTATAAATTAAATAAAATAGCACAGCTTATATTGATGTAGGCTTCTATTCCTTGGCATTGACTATTTTAAAGTTTTATTCCCTCAGTCTGGGTTTATCGTAAGAATAGATTTTCCTTCCATTTTGCAAATGCTGAGATGTAAAGAGAAATTCACTTTCAGTGGCCAGTATTATGACAGAAGGTTATGGCTGTTTCAAATCAAATTATTTTAAAAATAGACGTTTATTATCAATTGAGTGGCATAGATTTCAGCCACAATGCTGTCACCCTGCCTATTGAAGTGACCAAGTTCAAAATAAAACATTACTCACTATGGATTTTTTTTTTATTAAAAAATCTGCTAAAAGAAAAGACATTTCTTTGGTGCTTATGGCTAGAAAACAAAAAGGTGGTGTGAAGCATTGTCAAAAAGACTTGAATTAGGTGTTTTCATTCAATTCTTTATATGTATCTAATTCATTAATTATAAATCATGATTTACAGTCCTTTCAAAATATTATGTGAACTTCAATTTCAATTGAACTACCATGTATATGGTAACAGAAATTTTTTCTTTCAGCCAATGAATGCTTGTTGAGAAGCCCAGAAGATGCATTATCTGTCCCGTAGGTTTGGTATCTTTTCAGAGTGATATATGTGATCCAGCGAAGAGAGAGACTACGTGTCTGTCTTAGGTTTTTAAGAGACACACTGATAATGTGAGATCAATACGGGCCCTTAGAGATTCAAACAATATATCACAAGAATGGAAAAGCAAGTACCCAATGTACTTAATACTAATATGAACCCAGGAGACTAATACACACCCATGTAAGAGAAGACTCAATTCAATTTAATTGAGGGGAGCAGACAAGGGGTGGGGGGAGACGGGAGGATGGAGGGGGGAGGGAGGAAAGGAGAGAGGGGAGAGGAGGGGGATTTGTGAGCTCCCACTCTATGGGCGCAATGTGAGAATATATAGCCCACCTCCTGCCTGTGGAATATAACAGGGAGTTTACCTAACAAATGCAAACAGTGTAAGCTAATTGTACTCTCATGTCAATCTGGAAAAAAAAAGTCACACCCACACAGAAGAATAGATATAAGGAATAACTAGGTAGAACACTGGCTGCTCTTTTAAATTCAGACTGTGTTCTCTCCTTGCCTCTCACTGAAAGCCACCAGGCTGGCTGAATGGGACAGGATGCTGCAAGAAGGGACACAGTGACCCAGCATAGGTACAGTTGCTGAAGCCTCTCCAGGATCAAGCAGGGTCTCTGCACAGGGAGGAGGCAGGCCTGGTGCTAGTGGTAGTACCAGGGATGGGGGCTGAGTGATGGGGAGAAGAGGCCTCCTTGCAGGACCTTGAGGCTCTGGGGGCCCAGTGAGGGGCATGGAAGGCAAATTGAGGGGGGAAAGCCCATGGGTGGAGGCAGCTGACTGTGCCCTGTCCTAGCCCCCAGAGTTGGAGCTCCAGTGGGTGCAAACAGCCTGGTAAGAACCTTGTCCCCAAGAGAGGGTGACAAACTTGCTTGGGTGAGCAGGTATTGGGCCTGAGGATGAGGGGAGGAGGACTCTTGGCAGCAGCACCCCCTTGGAGCCTGAGTGGGGAGCCTCCAGCTGAAGAGTGGGAGTGGCCTGGATTGTGGGGTGGGGAGGGGAGGGCCTATGGGGGGTGCTGAGTGATGGATAAGCACTGTGAAGGGGAAGCCGGCTGCTTTTGCACTTGGAAATGGGGAAAGGGAGGAAACTGGAATGTAGCTGTTGGTGGTAGAGTGGAGTGGCAGGACTGTCAGTATGTGTGTGGATGGACCTGCGGATGGACGCAGAGCCTGACAGAGACGCATGGGCGGGAGCATGTGTGTGGGCAGTATGCACGTGCATTTCCGTGCTTACATCCCCATCCAGCGAGAGGTCCTGAGAGTAGGGGTGCTGAGTCCATCCAGCATGCAGGTATTTGGTCTAAAACCAGGCTCCAGTAAAGAATCAGGACTCCTAGGAGAAACATCTGGTGCGAAGGATGGATCAGGAATGTTACAAAGTAGACATAAGGACTCACATCTATAATCCCAGCACTCTGGGAGGCCCAGGCAGGAGCATCCCTTGAACTCAGGAGTTTGAGACCAGCCTGAGCAAGGGTGAGATTCCATCTCTATGCAAAAATAGAAAAATTAGCTGGGCATGGTGGTGGGTGCCTTTAGTCTCAGCTCTTTGAGAGGCTGAGGCAGGAGGATCATTTGAGCCCGGGAGTTTGAGGTTGCTGTGAGCTATAATGCCATGGCACTCATGCCAGGGTGAAAAAGTGACACTTCATAAGAAATAAAGGAAGGAAGGAAGGAAGGAACCAACCTTGAGGCATATCTTGCTAAAAATATATTTAGCATATGAAAAGTGTTAACATCCTGAACACCCAGGAACCCTTGGGCACTGCTGAAGGCTAAAGGAAATTAAAAGCCAGAATCACTTAATACAGTCCTGGTCCTAGATGGGCCCTTTTTCCTAAAA